AAAGTGCCTTGAGATGACATGTGTTGTGAATTTGGCGCTATATAAATAAACTGAATTGAATTTATGCTGAAGCTGAGGTGAAGTTCCGTCATTCAGTTCTGACCTTTATTGAGGAACATGTCTCCACTTTCTCCAGGCCTGTGTTGAAGCCTGCCTCTATGAGCAAACAGGAAGCTTATGTGTGAGAGAGATAGATGAAGGGCCGAGCAGGAAGACTCTGATTGCTGTGATGACTGAGGGATCAGGGGCCTGATAATGAGGACCCAGCAGAAAACTCATCTGATGTCAAAAAGCAAACAGATTCAAATCATTAATTAGACTCTTCCTGAACTCCCAGGGAAAAGAAATCACACCGGATGTTTCTTAGGAAGGACACAAACATGGACCAGAATGTGGTTTATACTGCAGAAAAGAAGCGGTTCTCTTTTGGACTTCTTCATTCATCACAGAGGACCAATCACAGGCCTGATATGGTTTATAGATGCATTGAAAAAACTACCAGGATTAAAACATGAATTTGTTGAAGGGATGAAATAAATGTTTCTCCAAAAGAAAATGCATGTTTCCGCCTCAGTGTTCCCAATGTTGGGACAGTATTTCATTCTGGATGAAAACACTGATTCTTTATTCTTTCTCTGATCAGATGTTCTACAGCAGCCTGAGCAGAAACACTGAGGAAAAAACATTGATTTACTGCCTCCTAGTGCTAAACTGCAGCAACTACGTCTTTGCTTCTGAGTGATTTGAGTTGAACAGGTTTCATGTTTCTGATTGGAAACTTTTTCCATTATTTTCATCATATTTCTGCTCAATTTTGGATAAAAAAGTGTATGTTGTGTTAAAACAAACCAGCTCTTAGTTTAGTAAGAGTAGACATGAACAGCCTGATATTTGACTCAGCTAAGAATATCAATATAAATTATTACTGAGCAGATGTGTCACAGCTATTAATGTTTATTACTCTAGCAGAAATATAATTCCTTCTGCTTAAAAACACTTTGGTGGAAGTTAGAGAAGCAGCTTCAGCTTTATACTCAAAAGTGTCGAGGTAACATTTTTAAAACGTAACGTATCTTTAACAATAACAGGTTAGCTGCATCTAGCTTATTTAAAATAAACAAAACAAAAACTGCCCATGTACGCATGTTGTTTTCTGGAGAATAACTTAAAAACTGTGCCTGCATTGATAACAGGGGAAAAAGTGGTTTAGACGAACCTGTTTAAATGAGAAAATTGCATTATTTTCTTGGATGTTTGGGGTAGAAGGATGACCCTGAAAGTAAGATAAACACTGATTTAAACTG